AAAAAACCAAGCCCATGCAGGTCACAGTCAAAGATTATGAATTGCATGCCTTAAAAGTCTCGAAAGCCAGGCATCACTATCTCGTCACACCTGAGTACAAAGATATGTTTGCAAGAAAAGACCAAACGGAAGCAGAACAACACGAATACAACAAACTGAACTCGTGTAATTCTGCAAAAATAGCGAAAAAAGAAATGATGATACAAAAAAAATGATGAACTCGCAAAATTAAAGCTGCTCTACTCGTTATTTTGTTTCGTTATCCATCAACGCCTTAATTGTGTGAAGCCAATTAATCCACAAAATTCAGCTGCACACCAAAGCAGATCACCATCAATTAGACGTTTTACTGTCATATCTCATCAGTCCGAAAACTTTTTCAGTAAAGGTTTTCAGTTACATCAGTTTCTGGGAAAATAATCCTTGCTCACTAAATCAAATAAAGATTGACGAGCTGAAAGCCAGAATACAATCAACCACCGAGCATAACCGCCCAAAACTTATTTTTCTTGCTGAGACGTGGTTTACTGAGGCTTCAGATATTGCTATTGCAGGGTATAATATTTTTTCACGAAACAGGGCCGGAAAGATACGAGGTAGCGTTGTTATCTACGTAAAAAACGATCTTAAATGCACGTTTAACAATGCACGTTCGTTGCACGCTAACAAATATTGAACAACTTAAAAAAAATACCATTGAACAGTTGTGGATAAAGCTCAAGCTCGAAAATGAATCACTCCTTTTAGGGTGTATCTACCGACCACCAAACAAAGATGAACTAGCTTTTCTAGAAATTATGAAATTAAATCAGACTGCTACAAAGGCTCTCGAAACAAACGGTTGCGTTTGTTTTGAGAGTCTTGTTTTGACTCCATATTACTCTATAGTGACTTTAATTTTAGGCATAATTATTTAATTTTTTTCAAACAAACGATTTAAATTTTAACGAAAAGTCTGATCCTGATTTAAACTATTTTAACGAAATTAATACATCAGAATTTGATTGCAAATATTTTTATCCAAATGAAGTTAAATATTTTCTAAAAATTGATAACATTAATAGTTATTTGAACGTTGTCCATATTAATATAAGGAGTTTAAAAAAGAATTTTGAAAATTTTTTAAATGTCATTTGCGAAACTGATAATTCTTTTAATTTAATTTGCGTAACTGAAACGTGGTCTTCTAACGAGGATTTTGAGAATAATTCAAATCTCCAACTCCCAGGTTTTAATGGAATTACCTTAGAGCGAAATATAAATAAGCGTGGAGGAGGAGTACTTTTTTATGTTAGAAATAGTCTTTGGTATAATGTTAGACGCGATATGAGTGTTTCTGATGAAAATAAAGAGATTTTAACTATTGAAATTATAAACAAAAAATCAAAAAACCTGCTAATAAGCTGTTGTTATAGGCCTCCAACTGGAAGAACTGAAGACCTCAGCAATTTTTTACAAAAGAAAATTCTAGAAAAAACTAATCTCGAAAATAAAAAAAATTACTTGATTAGCGATTTTAATTTAGATTGTTTTGATTATTACGAAAATCAAAATACTAGAAAATTTTACAACAATTTATTTGAAACAGGATAATACCAATAATAAATCGACCAACAAGAATTACAAATTATTCATCCACTTTAATTGATAATATCTTAACTACTGACTTTTTTATTATATCGCTTAAAAAAGGAATAATTCAAACAGATGTATCTGATCATTTTCCTATATTTTTTTCAGTAAATCTAGACTTTAAAAAAGAAATGCAAAAAAGTGTCACCATAAAAAAAAGGTTGTTCAACAACATTAATTTAAACTCCTTCAAAGAACATTTGTTGCTAATAAATTGGGAACATTTAAACTTTAATAATAATATAAACACAATTTACAACACTTTTTTTAAAACATTTTATAAAGTCTATGATACAAATTTTCCTATGTGTGAAACAGTTGTAAAAACAAAAGACATATCATGTCCCTGGATTACAAAAGGTCTTAAAAAATCCTCGAAAATAAAACAAAAGCTATATATTAAATATTTAAAATCAAAATCAGTAAAACATAAAAATAACTATATCACCTATAAAAACTTATATGAAAAACTTCGCAAAAATGCAAAAAAAAAAAAAATACTACTCCTACTTGATCAATAAACATAAAAATAATTCGAAACAAATCTGGAAAATAATGAAAGAAATTACAGGAAAACTTAAAACAAATACAAATTCTCTGCCACATAAAACAAAAATTGACAACAAACTAATTAACGACTCAAACTATATTGCAGCTGAATTTAACAAATTTTTTACTACATTTGGAACTAAACTAGCAAACAGTATTCCGTATACCGACGATAAATCAGCTGAATTCCAAACATCAACTTCATCAAGTTTTCACTTTACTGAGCTAACTTATGATGAATTTGAAATTGCCTTTAGTTCATTAAAAAGAAATAAAACAACTGGGTATGATGATATTAATGTGAATATTATAATAGACTTTTGTGATGTTATAAAAAACATTTTAAATAAATAGGTTATCTCTCAACACAGCTAAAACTAAATGGACACTTTTTTATCCACTCTATAAAAAAACATGGAATACCACATTTGTTACCTGAACTATATATTGACAATGTAATGATAAAAAGAGAAAAAGTAACAAAGTTTCTAGGAATCTATATTGATGAAAATTTAACTTGGAAACATCACATTAACATTATCTCTTCTAGAGTTTCCAAATGCATCGGTATTCTTTATAAAGCTAGAAACATACTAAATAAACGGCAGCTGACTCAACTGTACTATTTATTTGTTCACTGTCATATAAACTATGCAAATATTATATGGATAAGCACTCAAAAGACAAAACTTAAAACTCTTTTTAATCATCAGAAACACGCAGCTCGCGCAATTAATTTTAAAAATCGTCTTACTCACTCTGCGCCACTTCTTAAAGATATGAAAGCTTTGAATGTTTATCAACTTAATATTTTTAATATTTTATGCTTTATGTTCAAGTGTAAAGAAAATTTATCTCCACAGGTATTTCAATATCTTTATTCTTTAAAACCGAAAAACAAATATAATTTACGAATTGACAACAATCTTAATGCTCCTTTTTGCAAAACTAAATACGACGAATTTTGTATGTCCTATCGTGGACCTCTTCTTTGGAACAGAAAAGTTTTACCTAATTTTAACTTTTCAATCAAACTAAACAACTCCTCATTCAAAACCAAAATTAAAGAAATTATCTTTTCAATTGAAAACATCTTTATCTATTTTTGAGTTTTATCAATTTATTGCATATATATTATACTTTATTGTATTATGTTTTACTATTTACAAATATTTCCATGAGTTCTTTGCAAACTTATGTATTTAATGGTTTGTATTTTATTACTGTTTATTACTGTGTTTTGTTAAACTTCATATTATCTTTGTTATTTTACGAATTTTTATAACTTCATTATAATATTACGTATTTATATTATATTATACTCGATACTAAAAAGCATTGTAAAGGGCTTCATGATAAGATCCTCATGATCTTCTAGAAGTCCTGCCGCTAAATTTGGAATATGTTAAAATTTGTATTATTAATAAAATTATTTGGCAAAAAAAAAAAAAAAAAAAAAAAAAAAAAAAAAAAAAAAATTAGCTATGAAAGTATTAACGTTGGAGGAGGTGTTTAGACAGCAGTCAACATACAGACCAACAGCTTACCAGTCATTCAGTTCAAGTCTTGTTTAGAGGAAGACCATCTTACGCAACTCGTGTGGAGCAAGGCAAACTAAACTTTTATCTCAAATTATACTAGAAGTTATGACTAGGAGACATTATTTAAAAAAATATCTGAGGCCGAAAAATACAAACTTTTAATTGACAAATGTAATGAAGCCACTTCACTCTACATACCAAGTACCACAAGACCATACCAGCCAAATAAAAATCTATGGTTTATTAGTGATGATAAAAAAAAGAGTAAACTCTGGGCTAAATATGTGTCAGCTGGACCAGGATCACGCCAACTTATTAAGAGCAGAACATAGCAAAACAGCAAAAACCGTCACAAAAGTGATGAAAAAAGAAAAACTTTACTTCGAAGATACACTAACTTCTTCGTTCAACTATAACCAACATAACCCAAACAAACTCAATACTTATGTCAAAAGCAAAATCAAAATTCACAATAAAATCCATTTACTTGAAGGTAGCAATGGTTTTAAACCGATAACATATTTAACATATGTAATGCATTCAATTATTTTTTTTATACTGTATTTGAAGAAGAGCCGCAAGGACTATAAAGAAATGATTCTATCACTAAATAGTTACAAACAGTTTGCTAAAACTCGATCTTTCAAAAGCAACAGATCCTCATGGAATCTAGAGTCTTGAAAAGTTGCGCATAAAGTAAAGTTACAATCTGAGCACGCAGCTGCAGCTGAAAATAGAGTGCTTGGGAAATTTAAAAAAGGATTCAAAAGTCGTGGTTTAACTTTATGGCGTTTTCTATATACTATATATTACTTATACCCGACCATTATTAAAATTTGCCGTCCCAGCTTGGTCTCCTCATTTTATAGGAGATAAAAATACAATCGAAAAAGTTCAACATTGAGCCACGAAATGAATTAACTCAATAAGTCACCTAAAATACAAGGAACGTTTAGCAAGGCTTGATTTGACTACCCTTAAAAACCGCCGCACACGTAGGCAGGGCCGTATCTAGCATACAAAGACTGGGGGGGGGTACAATCGTCAAATTAACCGACAAAAATTTTTCTTGTTTTGGAAAAAGGATTTTTTTCGGAAAAATTTTCAAAATCATAGTTGCATTCTTAATTTACTATCTGTAACACGTTAAAAGAAATAAAATATATTCTTTCTGAAAGATTATATAAATTTTACAATGCAAATGAAATTTACAGTATTTCAAAAGCATATACAAACAACAACAAATTTAACGTATAAAACGCAAAACTGCATAATCAATTACTTAATTTGAATACGTCTTTGTGTTGTTATAGACCATTTTTTTACCAACACGTCAAGATCTATATTGTCCACTAAATCTTTTTCTGACGCCAACAAAATTAATGACTCCAATCTTGCATCTGACATAGTAGAACGCAAAATATTTTTAACAATTTTTAATTTGCTAAATGTTCTTTCATCGCTTGCAACGGACACTGGTGCTGAAGCCATTAGCTTGAAAGCTTTGAAAACTCCTGGGAATATGTTTTGTCCTGGCCACGACAGTTTTAATTTTTCATTGTTTGTTGGAGCATCAGATTTAGTAAATGTGTTCATAAAAATTTCTAACTCTGCATGAAATAAATGAGCATCTGTATTTACTCCATTATTTGGCATTAATAGGCACAATTTTTCGACATCTTTTATTGTAAAGGTTTTTGTTGACTGCTGAAGAAGAGAAAATGGTTCAATGCTCAACCATGAAGCCAGTAAATTTTCATTCATTTCGTAAATAAGACAGTCTAACACGCAATTAAGTTGTTGGGTGTAGTATTGATAGATATTTCTAGAACATAGCGTATCAGGATTGTCATCATAGCGTTTTGGAGTTACTCTTCGTCTATGACGATCTTTGTATATTTTTATCGTATCGATTTCATACTTGCTACATATTTTAATTGCTGCATCAATTTCACGATGTACTTCAAATTCTTCTTTTCTATTTCGTTCAAGAGATTGTATTGTAGACAATACAATCATTTTAGCATCTAAAATGTTCAACTCAACTTTCTGCAACTCATCATTAAGAATCTTTGTTTTTGCAATGACTCCTTTGATAAGCATAAGCATAATGATAAAGTCTGGATTCACGATTTTTTTAAGTATTGCTAAAGCTTGATCCTTTGTTTTCTTATCAAATAAATTGGACTGACTTATTTCATAAAAACATTCAACAATAGATTCCATGCTTATCCAAAATGCTTGATTGGATTCTGAACGCGCTGACCATCTAGTCTTTGAAAGATTGCGAAGTTTCAAGGAATTTTCAATAAACTCAAGTTTAGAATTAAGTAAGCTGAATCGTTTAGTACTTGAAGAAATAAATACGTAGCACATTTCAAGAACTTCAAAGACATTTGAAGCCATTTTATTTCTTTTAACCGCATGTTCAACAAAAGTATTAGTTCGATGAGCTTGACATGGAATATAAGGTACAACTCGTTTTAACTTTTCTGAAATTTTTGCATGAACTCCTTTAATGTTGCTGGACATAGAGCTGGCGTAATCGTATCCTTGAAACACAACACTATTGACATCAAGTTGAAGGTTATTGATTGTCGATATTATTAAATTCCATCACCCGTTTTGTCAGCTACCTCGCATATCTGCACAATTCTTTCTTTAATATTACAGTTATTATCCACATACCTTACAGCAATTGCTAACTTATCACTGTGTGACACATCAGGAGTTGTATCTGCCATAATTGAAAACATCGATGCTTGGTTAACTTCGGAAATAATTTTGCTTTGAACATCTTGTCCTAGCAAATGAATGAAGTCGTTTTGGGATTTAGCACTCATATTTGTCACATGATATTTTCTAAGTTTTATGTTGCTCAATCATCGTTTAAGTACCAAATTATGTCTCGACATAAAATATACCAACTGTCTAAAATTTCCATTTTCATCCCGATCATTTCCACGAAACGCGATTCCTTGCCTACCCAATGTTCGAGCCAAATCAATAAGAACTTTTATAACACACTTATTAGACTCCATTTCTTCTTTTTCACTAATAACAATTTGTCTTTGTTCTTTGTCCAAGAGGAGATTAATATGTTGAGACTTTTTATACATTATTAGACTATTACAATAATTGCAATAGTCTAATAATGAAGCTTTATGAGATTTTGATGAAAAATGTTCTGATAGTTTTCCTCTTTTACCTTTCTTTCTTCGACTCTTCATTTTATGCCACGTGCGGATACCGTTTTCAACCCAATCAACTTCACTATTATCTCTACCTGGTCCATTTGGAAAAAGACAGCATACATAGCAGAATGCGCTATCTTTAAGTATGCTGTACTCTAAGTGAGGGTATTCTTTGTACCACAATGATGAAAAACGATTTTGCTTCCTTTTGTCAATATCTTTATTGATAGGAAAGTTATTAAGTTTTACTTGATGTGGTCCGAGCTCAATTAGATAGTTTCTTAGATTATCATTTTCAATTTTCGAACGCTGGCCAGGATCATGCGAAAGAAAGAAATTTTTTGTAGTAAGTGTTTCAATATTATCATATTTTCTTTTGTTTAAAATGTTTGCAAGAGCTTGGTCATTGGCATCCAAAACATTCTCTGCTGAAATTTTTACCTCAGAAGCAAGCTCTGTTATTTCAATGAGAAGTTTTTCCAAATGTAAATTGTCTGTGTTTTTCACTTCATCTAGTTTTAATTCGCACTCACTTAAAAGTTTACACAGCTTTGCAAATTTACCCACCGAATCTGAAAACGTAGTTTTTTTTTCCAATGTTAGTAGAATCCCAACATCACTCGGTTGGGATTCTACTAATAGAGTTTGATCACAGAAATCCAAAATTTCAGGCACTGCTAGTATTTCATCATTAGTAATATCAATGTTTTTACTCTCATTTATTATCTCACATTCAATTTCAGATGATTCATTTTCAATTGCTTCAGAGATTTTTGTCAGATTTTCATTGATATTCATTTCCACTTCATTTGTAATGTTGCTCGGGCAAAGTTCTTGGGCATTTGAATTAATTTTAGGCAAACTTATTTTGCTGCACGATTGGGAATTTATTGCCAAATTGGTTTCAAAAGGGTTTCGTGGTGCGCCATACTTCTCATAAGGTATCCCTTTATGGTTTCGGATATAATCCAAATGATAAATTCGATTATGTGTCATCCGATTGCCATTATCAAAAATTGAATGTGAACAGTTCTTGACTTTGCATTTGACTTTTTATCCTTTAACACCAGGATGTGGCATCTTGAACCCAAAATCTAAGATAATTACAAATTAAACTAACAAAATATTTGCCTTAAAAAAATATATAAATGATTTAATAAATTTTAAACTTTTTAAAATTTTATTAGTAAATACGTAACTTACAAGTATAAACAAAATAGTTTATTACTTCTTTCGCCAAACTTCCAATACTAGTACCAAATTTCTAATAATAAAAACACACCGCTAACTAAACTTTCATTTCTTCTGTGCAAACATCAAGTAAACAAGTCTCTTGATTAAGATTCTTGCTTTAAAGTAATTAGAAATTGTTGACTAATTACGTAACGCAATTTTTGAGAATAAAAAACGGCAACCAAAAACATGCTTAGCTGAGTTTTATTTGTTATACGCGTTAAATTCCTAAAAAGAATTAGTTTTTCATCCTTTGAAAATTAACGTTAAGGATGATATAAAAACATTTTTGCAATACAGAAACAACAAGAAAATAATAATTTTAATATTTTGTCGGTTAAATAGTATAATGGTAAAGTTGTCGGTAAGATTACAATTTATTGTAATCTTACCGACAATTTACCATTGTACTGTTTAACCGACAAAATATTAAAAATCTGGGGGGTGGGGTGGACACCCCCCACACCCCCTATCGGTACGGCCCTGCACGTAGGGACCTTATACAGCATTATAAAATAAATAATGGAATTGATTCAATAAATTTTGTGGCGCCACAAACCACACCAGCGTATCAAAGATCTAAGTATAGTTTATGAACAAGGAGCCATGCCTTTGAACTAGCCGTCGAAAATTGAAACAAGACGTAATTTTTTCACTAATCGAGTAGTTAAAAACTGGAATTCCTTATTAAGTACCATAGTAAACGCACCATCACTCAACTGTTTTAAATGTAGACTTTAATAGTACAGGTTATTCACGCTTTTCAATTTGGCTAGCGCAGTTATAATTGCAAATGTTTACAAAAAATAGGGTCCATGCCTGCCTGCCGTCAATTATTAGAATATGCATTTTAGATAAATTTTTACCAAAAACTTTTGCATGATTTCAATAAATTTGTAACTAATAATTATTGATGACTGAATAAATATACAAATTGTTAAAAAAAAAAAAGGTTTTTTATTTAAAAATATTTAATATTATTTTACAGAAGCTATAATTATTTTTCAAACGATAATTATTTAAACGATAATTATTTTTCAAACGATAGATAATTATTTAATATGTATAGGATACAACGGGGCTAGATAATAAGGTTTTTGTCTTCTGCCTGCTCCATTAACGTTGTAACTGAAATATATTTCTTAAATAGTTTATTACGAAGATGGCGAAAATATATACATATATTAAAAAGTGCCGCTGTTAATGAGACTGGAAATAGAATCAAACATGATATTTTAGAAAATTGAAAGGAAAAGCTTTGTCTAAAAATGCCGATAGTTAAATCGTCACCATGCATGTAAGATTTGGTATCAGCATTTTTATGCAAGGGAATTGTATACAGACTTTAACAAAACAGTTTCAAATACAGCTGTTTTGAAGTGAAATTCAGTAGAGAGTTTTAAATGGTTATACATCAGTCTTAAATGATTATACAGTAGTTTTAAATTGATTGTCAAAATGGCTACGTTTGACGACGAACAACTTTAATATTTTTAACAGCTAAAACAAAATTTGTTTCTCATAAAAAATATAATTGGAGATATAAGCTGCATTTGCATATTGCTGATATTTTTAAAGCCGTATTAAAAAAAAATTTACTTGCAATCCCATAACATTCGTTTTTGAATAATCGGTGATTGAATACATTAAATTGAAAATAATTCTGAAGAAATTCGATTTGTTTTATGGCTGATAGTCCAAATTTTTATGATAATATTTTAACCAGTATTATGAGTATTATATATTATTTTTACTTAATTTACAAGTCTCTTAGCCTTAGACTTCAAACACACAGCATGTTGCTCTTTTTAAGTTGCTGGGTCGGCTTATTTCTAAGTTGCTGAGTCGGCTTATTTTTAAGTTGCTGGGTCGGCTTATTTCTAAGTTGCTGGGTCGGCTTATTTCTAAGTTGCTGGGTCGGCTTATTTCTAAGTTGCTGGGTCGGCTTATTTCTAAGTTGCTGGGTCGGCTTATTTTTAAGTTGCTGGGTCGGCTTATTTCTAAGTTGCTGGGTCGGCTTATTTCTAAGTTGCTGGGTCGGCTTATTTTTAAGTTGCTGGGTCGGCTTATTTTTTGATAACTTTTGTTTTACCAATGTTAACTAATACTTCTAAAGTTATTTTTCAATTTAAATTTTCAAGTTTTTTTTTTCCTTTTTAGGCAATTTTTTTACATTAGGAATAAATAGTCAAAATTGAAAATACCACGTATAGAAATTAGTTAGAAAGAGTAGCCATTTTGATAAATATGTTTTCTACTCACCCAATACTAACAAAGTTTTTTCCATTCCAATCAAGTTTGCTAACACTTCCACTTTATATTCATTTAATTTTTCAACATCCTTGCCTTATATCAATCAAAACAAGCATCCGTGGTACAATAGTAAGTGTTCTTGCTCAGAACCAAGAAGTTTGAGGTTTAATGCCGGCTCTAGCCCGATAAGCGACATTAGCAAGGAAGGAAGGTGTGAGCTTCCTGATTAAATGCTCCTCCGCGATGCTCTGTAATAAGACCGTTAGTTCTTCTTGGAGCACCTTCATAACTTAAAATATATATATATATATATATATTAAATTAATGTTGAAGTAGAAATTACTATTTATATTGTATTTGCTACAGCAGTAGAACTGAGTTGGTTATTACCGTAATGTTGGTCTTAACTTTTTTACTGATATATTATTCATGTGGTTAAAAGAGCTTATCTACTTTGTTATCAATTTTTTATTTTCATTGAACAACCCCAATTAAATGAATTGTTTTTTTTTTTTTTTTTTTTTTTTTAAATCTACGAAGATTATCAGCATAATTTAAAAGTTTAAAGTTTTTGAATGTAGGAGGAGCAATCTGTATTTAGAAAATTGGTTCATTTAGCGAGAAAAGGGCGGAGTAAGCTGCATTTAGTATATTAGAACGAATTTATAAATGTTGTCAAACTAATTAATAAATTAAAAAGTTCATTTCTAACGCGAATAAAGAGCTCTTTAAAGCAATGTAGTTTATTAAAAATTGTTATAGATATTTTAGTACTTCTGAATTTTATTAGGAAAACAGTATTTATTATTAAACTAGCTAACCCGAGCCACATGGTCTATTGTGCAGTCCCAG